TAAACGAATACATATATACATACACAATTATATACATATATACATGTGTATATATGTATATATACAGACATATATGTATATATATATATGTATGAATGTATATATGTATGTAAACCTATATATATGTGTATATATGTGTATATATATACATGTATGCGGGTTCCGGCTTTCTTTTGCGGGATCCCACTATGCGCGCGCGCATGTTGTGGGGAAAACCCTAAAGTATCGCAGGTACCAGGCGGAGTTGACATCCCCACAACTTTTTGTAGGATTGGATCCTCTGGGTCACCCCCGCCCAGAACCGACCGAAACCGCCCTCTTGGCCCTCCTCCTCGCCCCCCCCCTCCGGCCCGGCACCCCCGCCCGCGACCGACCGACGCCCCCCTCCTGGCCCCGACATCCTCACCCCATGAAGTTATTCACATGTTGGGACCCCCCACCCCGCAATGTCTCGCCCCAAACCGAGCGGCACCCCCCCATCCTCGCCCCCCTCCTCTCGGCCCGACGCCCCCGCGCAAAACCGACCGAAACCGCCCTCTTGGCCCTCCTCCCCGCCCTCCCCCCGCAGCCCGGCACCCCCGCCCAAAACCGATCGACGCCCCCCCCCCGGCCACGACATCCTCGCCCCATGAAGTTTCTTCTCTTGGACCCCCCCACCCCGCGATTTTTCGCCCGAAACAAACCGACCGACACCGCCCTCTTCGCCCTCCCCCTCGCCCCCCTCCTCGGCCCGGCGCCCCCGCTCAAAACTGGCACCCCCGCCCACGACCGACCCGCGCCCCCCTCCTGGCCCCCCTCCTCGCCCCGCTCCTCGGCCCGGCACCCTCGCTTAAAATCGACCGACGCCCCTGTCCTGGCCTCGACATCCCCACCCCATGAAACCTCTTTTTGGCCCCCCCCCCATTTCTCGCCCCAACCAACCGACGCCCCCTCTCCTCGCCCCCCTGCTCGGCCTGGAACTCCCTCCAAAAACCGACCGACACCCGCCTCCTGGCTCTCCTCCTCGCCCCCCCCCTTCGGCCCGCGACCCTCGCCGAGAACCGACCGACGCCGCCCTCCTAGCCCCGACGTCCTCACCCCATGCTGCGGTGAACTTGGGGGCGGTTGCAAGTCTTAGCAGACTGGGCAAGTTGGTTTCGGGAACTTACAATTTGCGCTATCCGAGCGCAAATAGTTGCAAGCACCTGATTAGATGAAGCACTGAAATCAATGTATTTTTAAGCTCCCGAATTGTTGATTTTCTGCGCGCGAGGCGCAAGGCGAGCGGCACCTATGCATCCGAACTCAGTTTGTTGCGTTGCTGCGCAGGAGAACGCAGTAGCAGCTCGCGCGAGGTCTCACCACTTGAACATGGGAAGCGCAATCGCGATTGACCCGCCCCCACGGCGCCTGCATGCCGTGCCAGTCTTCGAACCGTTCCAACCAGCCACAACGGGCGCCCCACCCGTCGCAAATGTCCACCGTGATTTGTTCACAACTGCACGTGTGCTAAGCGGACGGTCGCCTGCAGACGGCACGCCCGTAATTACAATGGCGGTGGTGGTGGTTTGGAAACTAGGCAAACGCCACGCCATGGCAGTGATGATGTCGGTCGTGTGCACCAGCTGCAAGTCGTCGTCGGTCGGGGCCGCGGTCAGAGCGCCGAGCCGATCATCCTAGCGAGGGGTGTCCCGGATTGAAACCAGCGACGCCATCGTTCCGTTTGCAGCAGCGCGAAACCAAACCTCCCCACGCGCCTTGCCACCATTGGCAATGGAAAGCAGCGCGATGTCGCGGGGCTGGCACGTCGACACAGTCGACAGCCGAGCCCCCAGGGCCGCGGTCGTGCTGCCCCTGCGGAGGCGCTGGCCGTGCTTCTCCTCAAGGAAGGCATGCATCTTCTCAGGTGTCGCCCCGGGGCGCGCCAAGTGCGGCGAGATGTCGAACACGTTGGTGCTGCGCAAATTCGCCAATTCAGGGATGTGACATCGGACAGCACGCTCTTCCCAGAGGCTTCCAGCTGGCGCATGTCATTGCAGCACCGCTTGGGCACCCTGTGCTTTCTCTCGTGTTCAACACGCGACAGAAGGCATCCGGGCTTGACAGGGTGCCTTGGGAAATGGATCAGCCAGCGGAACTTCGGCGTCATGTATTCCTGCCACGCTGCTGCTTCACAAGCATCCAGAAACGCGCTCGTCCTGTCCCTGAGAGCGTCAGCAGACGCACGGGATGTCGCTGCAGCCTCGATGCACCACGCCACATCACACAACCGAGCAAAAACGGCGCACTCCGCGCACGCGACCCCTGTAGGCCATAAAACCGTCATCACATACGCATACAAGATATCGGCGAAAACCCAAACATAATCTTTCTAGGGCTGTGGGGCTATAGGGCAACAGGGCTATCTGGGCTCTTGGGCGCTATACGGGCTATTGGGCTATATGGCTATATGAGCTGTAGGGATATAAAGCTATAGGGCACTCACGGGCACCCGGGCACCCCCGGGCATGCCCGGGCACGCGAGCACCCGGGCACCCCCGGGCATGCCCGGGCACCCGGGCACCCGGGCGCCCGGGCACGCCCGAGCACCCGGGCGCCCCCCGGCACCCGGGCACACGGGCGCGCGGCGAAAATCGGCGGCAAACCTAACCTAACCATATGAATCCGCTAGGACCCACAAAGAGGCAAGCTCTGATTGGGAAATGAGTGGCAGCACAGACACGTCCTCACTCGCCTGGCACTTACACGATTTCGCCTTGCCGTTGGCAATTGCGCGGCCCTTCTGGAAAAATCTTAACCAAAATGCCAGCGCTGCCGTGCGCGACGGGCAGTGACCACACCCCGATGCACCCCTCGAAACATGGGTAGAATTACGTTGACCTACCCATCACTCTTACAACCTGCGAGATCGAGATGCACCGACATGTTGAAAACACACCGAATAAAGAATGCGCGCGTCCAGTCGTGGCAACACTTACCAAGAGGGAAGATACTGCGATCCAGCTGTGGACCGAGCAGCAGGTTCTGCACGTGACGGTTGAAAAGGAACGCTTGCTCGCGGACGCTGCAGGAGGCGAAGGCGCATCACTGCTCCCACACCTACTCGTCATCCTCGCTTCCCCCCCCTTCATCATCTCCCCATCCTTAGGGTATCCTACCTCCTTAGAATCTGCGGGCCCCCCGCAGGTCTTGAAATTGGCGCTGGCGTCCGTCGCGCGGCACCCAGCCAGCCGCCGCGCGCCCCCCCCCCCTGATGCCATGTTTCGTCGCAAATTCGATGTCGCGCTCACGCGCGGCGTCTGCTCTCAGCAGGGCCACCCCATCTTCGTCGACCAGGGAGCTGGCCATCGCAATTACTTTGCGGCAGAGCATGCAGCATTTGGCACCAGCATCTCCTTTAATCAGCCAGACCAACCTCTGGGCACCGCCGTCCTGGAGAACCATCCCAAGTTCGCAATGCAACCTGACGCCAGGCTCCAATCAAACGTCCGCTGTGCGCAGCGAACAATCCGACCTACAAAATACGTCGTTTAAAAGCATTTTGAATGACTGAGCGACGCCTGCATCTGTATTGGATGCACGTTTTGACCTCATGCCACCTACGCAGAACCGCGCGTCCTCTTGCGACAGCACTTCTGGCCCCAGCACTAGAAACGATACGTAGAATATCCACATTTTCCTTGAATTGTCTGGAGATAATTGGCTGCCGGGCGCGACCTCGTCAGAATGACATATCACCGGCCACGGTTGCTCGAAAGCGAACGGCCTCGCCGCCATAGTGCTTTGAACGAGGGCCCGCCATCTGCTGCATTGCGCGCGCGCCGCGCACAAACGGCAGGGGGATTGGCAACAGCGAATTTCGTCTCGGAATCCTCGGCATAGCAGATGATCTCACGGAACGAAGTGCCACGAGTAGTCGTTTAGTTTATAGCCGGATCTCTAGCTCCACGGATCTCCTTCCGCAGTGCTAAGAAGGGCCCCCACGTGACCTCGCCCGAGATTGCAGCCAGCGCAGCAGCAGATACATGCGGAAATTTCCTCCTCAATGGTTTAGTTTTGCGGTAATTTTCGGGCGTTGGCGTGAATGAGCAGCGCAGCCGCGAGCCCGCCCTCGAACCACATGCAGCAACTGCGGTGGCTTTGGGGGCTGGCGCGACGACGGCGCATAGAAGCGCATGCGTTTGCGTGAGAAATGCGCGCGTGTGTGGGGTGGGGGGGGGGCTCGAAAATACGCGACCCATCCATTGAACGCACATGCAAAAGCTTGCGCCGCGGGTGCATTCACCGTTGCAACCACCTGCACGCACCACTTCATCGAACACATCAAGGACTGCATGGCAACGACGTGCGCATGGCATGCGCAATCACCTGCGCCTCTGAACCGGCGTCCTGCAACCGCGCGCGCGTGCATGAACGCTTCTGCGAATGCAGAGCGAGCCTGCAGTTGCAACCGATTAAGATGTGCGCCCATGCAGTCAAAACTGCAATCGTTATAGCAGAGGGCACATGGATGCTGCCTCAACTGCACATGCAGTCATGACTGCATCGGCTGTTCATTCGCCGCCCCCCCCAAACCCACCTCGCCCTGATGCTTCCCCGCGCGCGCTCCGCCCCCCCATGCGCCCCCCTTCTGAGAACGGACCCATGCGCCGATCGCATCTCTTGAGCGCGTGACCATGGTATAATACAATGTGCAATCATACATGCAACGTTGCAGCCACAGCTGCAAACCCGAAGGCCCGCCACGGGCGCGATTGCAGGGGGTGCTACAGCGATGGGCGGAACACGCGCTGCATGCGCAAATGCCGACACAATTGCACGCGGAGAGACGCGCCAGAGTGCGCGGGCGAGGCAAATGGCATGCGAGACATTGCGTTTCCCATGGGTACGCTAGCGGTGATCGATTCCCACAGCTCCGAAGGCGCAAGATGCGTGCAGTGACGACCCATGCTCTATACGCATACAGTTCATTAAGGACCCGTCAGCTCATGCATCCAATCAGCGCGGATGCTCAACATGTCTCAAGCGTTCTTCTTGCCCCTCCACATCTCGCCTGCCGACTTGTATGCAGCCTTTGCAAAAACGAGCGCCTGATTATCGGCGCGGTTGTTGGCCTTGGCCCACCTGGGCGCCCTTCCGCACCACCTGGAAGCGAACGCATTCTGCGCGAAAGGGCCGTCGCCCGGTTCAAGCGCGATCTTGAAGACACCGCCCTTGGACGCCCGCGACGCGGCGGGCTCCCTCGCGACGGGAGTGGCCGCCAATGGCTTCTTTGTAACAGTCGCTGCAGCAGCGGGCTCCTTGGCTGCACGCGCGCCTTCTTCGCGAAGGCGTCGAACGCCTGCGCCTCGCAGGCCTCCTGCGGGACGCGGTCCGCAGTCGGCGCTGCGCCAGCAGCAGTGGGCGCTGCGCCGCCCGCCGGAGGAGCTGCGTCACCATCAACAGGAGCTGCTACACCGTCGCCGAGTGGAAGTACTGTGACCTCGGGCTCACCAGCGCGAGCTGCATCTGCGGCGATGCCCTTGCCCGGCTTGAACGACGCCGCTGGCGCGCGAGCAGAGCCATCGCCTGATTGACCTGCAGTGCACAAACCATGGATCTGAGCGGCCAGCCTATTCAAGTCAGAGCAACCGCCCTTGGATCGCTGGCCCCAGGACGAGCGCCAGCCACCGCGCCGCTCCTTCGGAAGCGGGGCGCAGCCAGCAGACGACTGCCAGATGCCAGCCCGCTCTCTCCGGAGCAACAGGTCGTTGTCGCGCAGCGGGGCGCGCCTCCCCAGGAAGGCATGCAAGTCGAGGAACTTCTCGACGGGCGGGTCGTCATCATCATAAGCAGCCTTGAGCAAAAATGCTGGCAAATCCGCAGGGCGCTCAGGATACGTCGCGAGCGTCGACTCAATGAATGGGGCCGCTTTTTTTATATATATATATATAAATATATATATATATATATATATAAAATCTGGCCCACCAAATCGTGAGAGCTGTTGTATATGCTCTGGTCGCTAGGCCAAGACTTGGCGCGCCCGTGCCCGCGCCACCTCAATGCTACCATTGCCCATTTCAAGCACTTCCCGTGCGCAGGCTGTTAGATCCACAAGCGATGCAACCGCGTTGCTAGAATGGCAATTTTCTTGGTCTCCGTCGCTCTGTGGTCCTCCAGGGCCATCCAATCCTTGCCCGTTAGGTAATTGCATATGTGGGAAAGCGTCTGATCCCCAGCATCGCCGATGCTACCCGGGGCCGCTGCAGCGACGCTGGTAAGCTTGATGCCGATTGGCCCCATTGCTGCGCGCTTCGCGGGGTGCATCGTGCACCTCTCTTGGGATGCTGACAAATTGTTCCCGCGCCTCCTAGCTGTCGGGGCGCTTCGCTCACGAGTCCGGACAGTCAGACACGCCGCGCTCAGTCTTCGATACTGACCATGTCGGACGGCGCGCGGTGCACCCCTGCACCCTTGCAGCACATGCAGCCCCTCGAGGTCTGAGCCGAACGCTGCCATGGAATGCCGATCGGAAATGCCAAAGAGGACACATGAGCGACTACGTGGATCGTCGCAACTTGCGCAGGGCGCACCGCATGCATGACAAAGTGCAAACGGCAATGACAATGCACAAGTGGGAATATATCACGCTGTCGGCGCATGGCATCAAACTCATGTGTTGGCCAAGCCGGCTGGCTGCATGGATGCGTTTCCCCATCGGGGAGATTGCGGGTCAGCCCCGCAGCTGAACCTGGTTCGAACAGCGAGCGCGGGCCAGGGGCATGGCATCGGAAGCCCCGCAACTGCGATCGCAACGTGAGGCAGCGAAACGCAGTGGTGGTGGAAGACAACATGTTCTAACGCAGAAGCGCGCGGCTAGAACTCAGCGATCGCTCTGCAAGATCAGCGCGCCGAACGCAACATATGCCGATCCATGGCAGCTCAAACTCGTCTTCCTCCTCCCCCGCATCCACGCCACCTCCCCCCCCCCATCCTGACCATGCTGCTCCTTCTCCTGCCCCCCCTCGCCATCCCCGCCCTCCTCGCCCACGTCGTTCCCCCCCCCCCCCCTGCTCATCCCCATCGCTGCGTTCCTCCTCTCCTTCCTGCGCCCCCCCCCCCCCGCCAGAACGCGAGCGCGCGCGCGCTGAGACCTCGAGCAACTGGCGGCGCCGTTGCTCGCGGGGGCTGCCCAGGCACGACACCCGGCAGCTCAGTCGCGCGCTGCTGTCGGATGAGCTGCGTCGCCCTCGTCTGCGCGCCGACGGAGAGGCTGCCAACCCACGGGCGCCTGACATCGACGAATGGACCCCTCGCGCGCTTGTTCTGCCCGGGCTTCCTGGCCACAACCTCGACGGGGCGACGGGGACCAAGTGCCCCCTGCTTCCCATGGTTACGTTCATGCGCACGGGCATGGATCTTGGCTTTCAGATCGGCCTCGCTGATGCGAACCATTGCAGCGCTAGCTGCAGCCTTCGCATTCGGCGCCATCGGGCCTCGGATGAACGCGCGCGAGCTGGCTTGAGAGCTCGAGCGCACGCGCGCAAACACTTTGGACAAAAATGCGATGCTACATCCGCGCGCGCCCCTCCCCATCCCCGCCCCGCGGGCGCGAACGCGGTAGACTGCAACCCTTGCCATCGGCCATGAATGCAGTGGACTACAGCCCATGCCGTCGGGCGCGAATGCAGTGGACTGCAGTCTGTGCCATCGGGCGCAACTGCAGTAGACTGCAGCCCTTGCCGTCTGGCGCCAACGCAGTGGACTGCAGCCCTCGGGCGGTCAGAGGGGCGCAACGGGCAGCAACGAGATGCGCGATCCCAGGTGCATCTGGTGAATAAGAGCAGCGGGAGGCGATGGAACAGGAGATGCAACGCTGTCGACTTCGGCGGGGGGCGATGCAGTAGGTGGCGGAGGGGGCGAGGGCGGATGGAGACAAGGCGGACGAGGCGGAGGGGGGCGTTGTCAGCAGCTCCATGCGAAGCTGCATTGTAGCGCTGTTCTAGAGCCTACGCTCCGTCACACATACCTCTCATGCTCTGCACGAGCCTGAATACAGAACATCACTTTCAAGTGCGACTGCACTTTGAGGTGCGGAGGCGACATGACGTCAAAGTGCGTTCGAACGCTGAAACGCAGGACCTGTTACATCAAAGTGTGATTGCGCTGTGATGTGAGGCTTCGCCGCGCTTCAAAATGCGATCGCACTTCCGAGTGAGGCCGACTGCGCACCTCAAACTGTGATCACACTTTGAAGCGACGCGTGCACTGGCGCCGTGGGTCACCCACGGCCCTCGCCAGCTGCGAGGCCAATGCGCCTCGGGGCAGCTCCCCGCCACCCCGAGGGGGGAACGAGGCCGCCCCCGCCACCTCGGAGCAGCTCTCCATCACCTCGGAGCAGCTCCTCATCACCATCTTTTCCACGCGGATGGCGGCCCGACTTGGGCTTCTCCTTGTTCTTGCCCTTGCCCTGGCCCTTCGAGTCGAGGCGCTCGCGGGCCTCTGCCAAAATGCGCTTCGCCATGTCGTGGCCGACCCCCCTCTTTGTAGGCCCAGGGGCCTTCGCGCCCTGCTCGGCGAACCAGCCGCTGAGCTTCTGGCGCGCCGTGCCCATCGCCGTGCCCATCGCCCTGCTCGGTGAACCAGCCGTGCCCATCGCCGCGATCGCGGCGTCCAACCCGGCCCAGTCCTCGGCGGCGCACGTGTCCGCCAACCGCATGGGCCTCGCCGACCACCCGCCGCGCGCCCGCTCGCCGCCGCCAGAGCCTCGGTTGCAGCGGTGGTCGAACGGCTTGGGCGCAGCGGGCGGCGGCCAGAGCGGCCGCGCGAGCGCCGACGGCGGCGGCGTCGAGGGCGGCCGCGGCCGCTTCGCAGGCCGCGCATTGATGACGCCGCCTACACCTCCACCGCCGCCCTGCGCATCAGCGCCCTGATGCGCGCCTGCGCCTCCGCCGTCGCCCTGCACATCGGCGCCGCGCGCCTGCCGCCGCCGCTGCCTTCTCTTCGAACATGTCCTTTAGAAGCTCGGCGTGTTGCGCGATCTCGGGAAAGCGCGGCGGCTCGTCAGCGAAGCCCTCGGGCGGCCCCTCCTCGCCCCCCCCCCCCCCCCCCCCCCCGCGGAGAACGACGCCGGGGGAGGGGGGGGGGGGGGCGGGGGGCGCGGCAGATGCGCGCGTGACCCCGCTGCCGCCAGAACGAGATCTCAAACGCATTGAAAAACAATGCGTTTTGTTGCATGGCCCGCTGCGGTCGGCAACGGCACGTTTCCCCGCGCGCGACGGCCGCCCCCCCGCGGGGAAGGGGGCAGCGGGGCCACAAGCACATCTGTCCTGGGACATGAAGGGGAACGACGAGGGCACGAGGAAGGAGGTGGAGGGAGCTGGAAGAGGCAGACGGAACAGGAGGACGAGGAGGGGACGCATGAGAAAAAGGAAGGGGATGCGGACGAGGAGGAGGAGGAGGAGGAGGAGGAGGATGGGTAGGGGGGGCGATGGCCCATAAATGACAGGAGAAGGAGGAGTAGGATTCAAGTTGGCAGCGCACTGCAAAATTTAATATCCCCCACCCCTCCCCCGCCGGCCCCCTGGCCTTGATGGGCGGGATCGGCCGCGTCGTCTGATCGCCGACCCCGCTGGCGCACGCGCAGCCGTCGGGGTAGTTCAGGATCGCGCTCGCGTCGAGCGTGCTCGTCACCACCCAGCGAGCGAAAGAGCCCCCCGACTCTTCCCGCGCCACGTACAGCAGGAAGATCTCGCTGCTGTTGGCCGCGTCGGGCACGCCAGGCTCCTGCCGATAGATCGGCGAGCCGTTCACGTGCCCGACCATGTAGTGCAGGCCCTGCAGGCACTGCGCCAGCTCGTCGGCGCCGTCCTCGGCTGAGCCCTCGAGCCTCCTGAACGCGAGGCTGTCCGCGAACTTGGCCACGCGCTCGCCCTTGCGCTGCACCATGGAGTTGAGCAGCAGCTGGAAGTTCCCGCTGCGCGGCCGCGCCGTCTTGGCACGCTTGGTCACGGCGTCGCCCTCGGCGAAAGCTGGCCAACAAAAAAACATCCGGCAGGCTGGGGCGCGCAGCGGGAGCTGCAGCGATGGCGCGCCCACCGCGCCGACGTCCGCGCAGTCCACACTCGCGCTGCTTCGTCGCGGGCCGCGACCGGCGCGCGACGAATCAACGTGAGCTTGGCGAAGACAGGTGGGCTGATAAGTTCTGCCGCGCGCAATCTCCTGGGCGCCCTGCTGATCAGCATCAGCAGGCGCTGGCGGCGCCGACCTGGCCAGGGGCCCCCGCGCAGCCGACGGGCCCAAGCGCGGGGCGGCGCCCGAAGCCCTCGAGGGGCTCGCGGGGGCCTCGGCAGGCCCGCAGCGGCGGCGCAAAAGAAGGCCGGCACCGCCAGCCTAGCCGCGAAAGGCCGGAGCACAAACGGCAATCCGGCGAGGGTGCAATCAAGGAGGAGGTGGGGGTGCTGGAAGCAAATGAAAGCTCAAGCTTGGCCAACATGCGGCGAGCGGATCTGACGCGGCAAACGTCGAGCAACGTATCGCTGAAGACAGGCATGCGTAAAACAACGGAGCAGCGCTGCAAACCTCTGTGCATTCTTTACACGCGAACTGTTGCTGGCCCGCACTGGCAGGGGCTGCTGTGGAACATTCGCGGCGCGACCCGAACGCTCGCGACTTAGCTCTAGCATGGCGCACCTGCACAGTCAAGTGCACCACTATCTTCGAGCTCATGCTCACTGAAGTCCTGCTGGTCGCTGGCGTCCTCATCCTCCTCGTCGGCACCGCCCCTCCT